TCTGATGATACACGAGTCATAACTCGCATTGAAAGTACTACATAAGCTGAATCGGTAACTTGTACACCAATTTTACTTAATGGTGATCCGATGGGTCCCATACTAAAAATAGAAAATTAATTAGAAAAAGAAAAACAACAACGTAATTTCTTTTTTTCTTCTCACCTAAATGGAATAACATAAAGCGTTCGTCCACTCATACATCCTGGAAATCGATCATCAATATCTTTTTTAATTTCATCAGGTGACTTCCATAAACCAAGAACACCGCTAACACCTTCACGTGAATGTGCTACTGATTCATGTTTATCCTTTGTAATAAGAAATGTTTTTGATTCAACACGAGCAACATCCTTTAAAATAAAGTTTTATTAAAATTTAGATGTGAAATAAAAGAAAAAAAAAATTATTTTACGCGTGGATCTGTTCGGCAAATATAACAATTTTCATATTTTGGTAATGGTGATAACTGACCACTTTTAACTAACATTTTGGTAACCATTTCAGCTTCTTCTTCTGATCCATCACAAATATGTACAGTATGAGGTTTACATAATTGAATCTAAATTATCAATAAGAAATTCTTATTTGGTTAACTATATAAAATAAAAATATTCTTTTACCATTTGTGCAAGCCATGATTGAACATGTTTAGGAAGTGATTGAAAATTACCTTTTGTTACAGGTACATTACCGAGTTGTTCAATTGTAATATGATGTACTTCAGAAAATGGTACGTCGATATCTTCCATGTTTATTTGTTCTTTATTACGAGTAATAATATGAACTAGTTTCTTTCGTTACAACAAAAAATGCTATTGCTTCTCTACAGTTTGCCTGGTGCTTTTATATGTCCACATAATTTATGATTCTTTACCCTCGTTTTCTCTCTCTTTTTTCTCTTTATTACTATTCCTCTTTGTTCTTCTCTTTTTCTTTCTATATAAAGTGTTCGTATGGCATTATAGACGGTGGGTGTGGCAAAAGAAAATCGATCAAAATAAGCTATACTTTGTACTATCGACAAACTTCAAATTGAAGTGTAAAGTACATCATTCGAGACACTAACGTCACCTTCCATATATGCATATCTGTGAATCATGTTAGAACGACTGAAAAAAAAAAGAATGCATAAATGAGAGAAAAAAAAATTTGGTGTTTATTAAAAAGAGATATAGAGGCATAGTCAAACATGCAGCGAAATGATTGTTGCTGCTGTAGCCATATCTAGGTCATGGACAAAAAAAACAAATATGCATTTTGTACAACTACACTAAGGAAAAAAAAAGAGAAATACAAAGAAAATAAATAAAGAAACGAAAGAAAAAAAAAAACCCGATTGAATCGTTCTAAATTTTCAAGTAATGTACTTTCGTATTCTTCGATTCTTCTAGAAGCTTTAGTACAAAGTCGACTAGGTTAAAATTAGATCAGAACTTCGATCAATATGAAGAAAGAAACGAATCGAGGATACTACGTTTTTTTAAACTTATCTTTGATACGTATATAGAACAGCAATCAGAAATGAACAGAATAGATTAGCACGAATGGTCATATTGTTTGATATGTAACAATGTCAATTCATATAAACATTACCATGATAAAAAACATCAGTATGAAGAAAGTATTGTTGAGTATAAGTTCCACTAGGCAGAAAAATTTTCTATTTATTTATTGGTGTGCAATTATTACTCAGGTCGAGCATTACGACAATCTTCAATGATTGTATACGACTGTACATGATGATATTTCATCGGATTAATCTGACTCTTAAATCAAGACCATATTGTACATGTCAAAATACATGTGTGTATGACTAACAGGAATAAATATGCACGGTTGTATACTCTCGTGTTTAAACAAGCTTCTTCTCATTGAAAAGAGGTGGGAACGACTTTCCTCTTCTTGTCAGCACACGAAATATTATTTCTTTATGTATAAAAAAAAAAAAAAAACATCAGTTATTCCATATATTCAATTCAATTTAAATAAGAATAATTTCTTTGAAATAGAATATTTACTATTTAATATAATTAATAAATGTTCTTGTTTAGAAGAAAAAAAAAAACCAGATTTTGACTTTCTTGCAAGATCAATGCAAATCAAACTTTTGGTTGAAAAGAAAAAAGTGTGTCACAGTATTTCTTTTTTTTGTTCTTGGATGCTTTTCTGTTTGTTTCTTTTTCTTGTTTTTTGCAGATTTGTCTCATTTTTTGACCTTAATAAAACGTTTATTTTACATCAACCATATTTTTTTGTACTATTATATTTTATTTTTAGCTTTTAACAAAATAAAAGTAAATAAAGCAACTAAAACAAAACTAAATGTAATTTAAAACGTATTCTCATGAAAAATATACTTGATAATTTTGTTTTTGGAGGCCTTGAAATCAACACATACTTCGAACTTACTAATATTTCTTTTGATGTTTAACATGCAGACATGCAATCCATACATTGTCTAAAATGGATATTTTCTTTTTTATCTAATTGAATATAATTATATATTGTTCTTTTTTAGAATTGTAGGAATAGCATCACAATATATATTTTAAGGGTTTGATTATGTGTTCTATATGAAGTTTAAAAATCATCAAAAAAAGTTTTATGTTGCTCATATACAGTATTATTTAGTACAAAGATGTGATTGATAGAAAAAATATGAATAATAGTTTTTCAACTTTTCGATTTTGAATGTCAGATGAATTCATAGGAAACGATCACCTTTTGGAAAACTCACAATCTTATAGGTTATGTGCTAACATTTTGATATGCTATTAGCACTATGTTCCAAATGATCATCTAATGAGTATGGTACAAATGCCCATGTAGTGAAATGGTCAAAACGACCATCTGGTAACTATAGCACAATGGAACATCTAGTAATTATGGTTTAAACGATGTCAGAGGAGATTATGAAGATCATCTAGTCAGTACAATTCAAATTAATCGATCACTACGTAAGGTGCATAAAAATGTAGTTGACGAGCATCATTAATATTAAGTCTATTGATCTATCGTTTAATGTTATTTAAAATGGATATGTGATTTATTAATACATTACAATTATTGTTGAATAAATCTGAACAGATAATTATGATATATAAACACATTAAAAAAAAATTATTTTTTAAAAATAATATGGAAAAAAAATGTGAAACAAATTTTTCAATACAAAGAGCACTAATATAAAAACTAGTTGTAAAAAAAAAAGCATTATTATTGTTCGTATGTTTATTTATCATAATTATCTGTTTAGATTTATTCAACAATAATTGTAATGTATTAAGAAATCACATGCCCATTTTAAACGCTATGGTAATTATTTTAAACACTATTAGACAATAAATCAATAGACTTTATATTTAATAATGCTCGTCAATAACATTTTTATGTAGCTCACATACTGATCGATTAATTTGAATTGTGCTGACTAGATGATCTTTATAATCTCCTCTGACATCGTTTGAACCATAATTACTAGATTTTCCATTGTGCCATAGTTATCGTACGGTAACTATGTTACAGACAGACAGACAGATGGACACAAGTGAATTCTCGTTTTTGGTTTTGTCAGTCTAGGGCTAAGTGAAGCGCTACGCGATGAATGTTACTTGTAACTAATAACTCATTAGTAATTTTTTTAATGTCCCACTAATAAGTAATTAATGAAAGAAATATTGAAGAAAATAGCGACAAAAGTGAATCACTTCGTCTTGCTCTACAGACCGTGACAAATAAAAATAATGAACAATACTTCCTATACTATCAGAGAGTTTGACAAAGATTTTGATAGTTGAGTCAATCTAAACATCAAGGATAATACGACCAACATGTATGTGGTGTTCTATACTAAGTGGAATTCTCTAAGTGAAAGCTTTTTGTTTCGATTTTGACGACCCAATGAGATATGAAATAGTCTGTGTATGGAAACAAAAAAAAAAGTTTTGATGCTTTATGAAAAGTTATATCAGCTACCATAACTTCAGCTGTGATATGTAAAAGTCGAATCGCTGGATCTTCAAACTTTAAGTAACCAAAATTTTATCACATTCATAGATCGGACCACAAAAATCCTGCTATCTTCTTTGTATTTTATATTGAATACTAGTTTTAATTAAATATGTCGTTGGTCACTTTAGTCAATTTTATTACTAGTTTTGTCGAATTTATTCATAGTGACATTTCTATCTGTCGACTAAAGATTGATACAAAATTAACAGTCTCTCTAGATTCAGGTGTAGATTCTATAACACTTCGTATATTATAGTTTATTGATACAATAAATCCTATATAGATCTATTTGACAATGCTCCTTCTAAAGCCTGTTGTCATTGATATATTGAAAGCAAGCATACTTAATTTCATAACATGTAAAAATCGACATTTCTCATAGGAATATATTTGTAGTTTAACTATCAAACGCTCAATGCCATAATCAATGGAATTAAATTCATTAGAGTACTCCCCATGACATCATATTAATAAGAATATTTGATTATCAAAATGTCAAACTATGAAAAGATTTGAAGAAAAAATTAATCAATGAAGCATGTCAAACAGTTCATCGGTGTTTTTTCGTATATATGCTATATACATAAAATAATTAGCCTTACTCTTCAAAGAGCTCATGTAATTGAACAATATAATATCGATCATATTTTCCATGTTGAAATAAGAATAAAGGTCTTGTTGATGTTGTGTTTATTTTTGTTTCTTTCAATATAATGAATTTGTATATTATAGTAAATAGTTAAAGTTTCATATTTCTTAATAATTAAAATTGATTTTTTACCTGTCATATAAAGAATTGTTACATGCATGTGAATAAAAGTTTATTAAAAAAAAAAAAGAAAAAGAGTAAAAATGCGTAAATCATTTTCTTGTTTTTGTTCATATGATATTTAACTTTATTTTTCTTATGAAGTATTTCAAAAAAAAATCGTTTTAAACTATAACAAATGAGTATCCACTGATAAAACAGATAGATTCATGAAAGTTTATTTTTGTTGTTGTTGTTGTTGTTGTTGTTGAAGATGCATTTGAATAATACCATTAATTTGTTGTCTTGTTAATAATTTATCATATAAAACTTTTTGTAATTTATCAATTTCTACTTGAATATAATCATGTTTACGTTTAAAATAATCTTGTGCTTTTTTTGGACGCATTTCAATAAAAAAACCTGTACCAACATCAACTAGAACATGTTCAGGATCGGATAAACGACCAGGAACATACATTGAAGATGAAAGTGGTACAAGTAATGAATTATCTTGATTATTTGTTGGTAAACGTGATACAGCAATCATAGATTCACCAAAACCTTCTTGAGCATATTGAAGACGTTGTATTGATGATTGCAACATTTCAATATCAGATTGCAATTGAGCACGTACTTGTTCAACTTGTGCCATACTTAAACCAACAGGTTGTTGATCATTTGAAGCTGACGCTGTTGTTGTTGCTGACATGATGAGATCTAGAAAAAGAAAACTTTTATATGTTTGTTGTCAAGACATATCTTCTTTGCTTGCTTGCTTGCTTTCTTTTTTCTCTTTCTTCAATGAAAGGACAATTAAAATAACCAATTCGATGGAGCTTTTTTATGATATATTGTATGTTAGTGACCTCTGCTGCATGGGACTCAATTCGAACTTCAACAACAAGTATCAATTCGAATAGTTCTCAGATAAATAAAAAAAATCAATTAAAAATAAATGCCTTGTTAAATGAGAAATTTTTTCAAAGACAGTAAGATCTAATAATGCAAAAAACTGCTAATAGCCAAATAATATCTAGAATATGTTCAGATCAATCGTGTTGTACAATTCAGATAGTCTTTATTGATCTCTTGACTATTATTCTTAAATGATAAAGAACAAAAAAAAGTTGTATATATGTTTCACTTGTTAATTTCAAATGACCGAGATGAACGCGTACATCGCATAATTTCATTGAATAGAATAAGAAAAAAAAAATATGTATAGCAGCGAGTAGTTTCGATCTACCGACCTCTGAGTTATGAGCCCAGCACGCTTCCACTGCGCCACGCTGCTGTTGTTATTTAGTCTTGCTTGATTACTTTATTTATTGAACAACATAAGAATTGTCGGATTCAATGTTTTCTTTTTTTGATGTAACAAAAAAAAAATTTTTACTTATCAATTAAATTTTATCGAATATATTTGCAAATGAAAAATATTATTTTCATCCATGATTTTCTAATCGTTCAATAACAATGCAAACAATAAAATAAAAAAAGTACTCCGCGGCGGGGAATCGAACCCCGGTTTCCCGCGTGACAGGCGGGGATACTAACCACTATACTACCGCGGACAGTATTATTTGACTTAAATCACCGAGACAAGAAAGAACATGAACAATAGGCAAATAATTGTTTCACATGTTCGATTTTCCTCATATAAGCAACATCTGTTTCTTTATTTTTCTCATTATTCTATATAAGTGATAAAATTATAACAATTTTTTTAATATTGAGTTTGGACGTTTATGAGAATGAAGAGAAAAAAGAAATCACATTTAAAGTGTTAGACAATGACAATAAAATTCTGTTGAATAAGTATCTTTCGACTTTAAAAATCTAGTTCAAGAACCTGGTTTACAGTGAATTCTAACAGTTAGATGTATCGGCAATATTTAATTGCCTGTTCATATTTTTTCCGTATGTAAATATTGTAAAATTTTAGAATAATCTCTGAAGATTTCGCATATAAAAAGTTCGACATACATGAGTAACAACGTCTTCAAATAGCATATAATGCCATTGATGATTATGGTTTCGATTTGATGTGAGTACCAATCTGGCTATGCGCAAAAACATTAATAAATACTTCAAGTCATTCACTTATATCTAACCATAAGAGAATAAAAAAATTCTACATTTTCCTTTTTGTTTTTTTTTTCTTGCAAATTTTTAATTACAAATGTTACTACTATTCAATGACGTCATCTACTATTTCCTTCATTTTTCTTTTCTGACAAGACATAGACTGACCCATAATCTAGTAGTCAAAAGTGCAAGAAGTAGAATCATTCTTTTTTTTTTTTCTTCTTTCTATAGAAATATTGCTATCATTCTCTCCATGCCCTTCTTTCTCTTTTCTGCGCGGTCAACACATATTCTATTTGAATCATAGCTCTGTGTTTTTTTTATCTTCTTATTCAATGTTAACACATTAGATGATTTTAAAATACATCGTGTCTATTTTTTAAACTATGACTCGATTTGTTTATTTACCTGTTTGTTTTTCCATTAGTTTTTTTCTTATTACACTCTATATTAATTCACTTGTTCAAGTATGGGCTGATAGAAATTCTCCATATTGGATACCAGCATTACCAGATATTGGTCATAATTTATTACCTTATTTGACATATTTTTCTATAAATAATTATTATCTTTTAACTTCATTTATCTTAGTTATTGTTCGTTATATATTTCAATGTGATATACGTTTAATTGTATTTCGTCGATGGTTTTTTATTCAAGCTATTCTTTTTGTTATGCGAAGTATATCAATTTATGTTACATCATTAAGTGTACCATTACCTGGTTGTAATACAACAGCTGTTGGTTCACCTCCAGTCGAAGCATTTTATATCATGTTTTTTATACATACAACATGTGGTGATGTTCTTTTTTCTGGTCATACAGTTACTTGTAAGAATAATGGAAATTCTTTTTTTTTTTTTTTTTTTTTTTGTAAAAGTTCATTTAAATTATTTTTTTTGTTTAGTAACATTATGTGCTCTTGCTTGGACAACATATTCAAAAGGTGAAGAACATTATCCAATACGTTGGTTATGGTATCGATTGAAAGGTATAAATCAAGAAATTGTTCCTGGTAGACCTGGTTGGCTTTATCCAAAATTAGATTCAACTGGTGATCCATTATCAGTTTATATAACAACAATACTTGTTTGGATATTTACAATAATTGGTTATTTATTTATTATTGCAACTCGATTTCATTATACAGTTGATGTTTTTCTTGGTTTTCTTCTTTCAAAATTAGTATGGCATACATATCATTATTATATAAAAACTTTAGCTGAACGTAGAAGTATAATAATAGCAAGATTTTTTCTTTGGTTTGAAGGTTATGGAAAACCACCAGTTGATACATCTGTAAGTTTATTAACAGGACCATCATATGGACTTCAAGAACAAGCTGAACATATGGAAGAATCTGGTAATGTAATACGTCCAGGTGATGCAAGTAATGCTTAATGTATTTTATTTTTTTTTTTGTATATATTGTATAGAATAACGATGAAGTTTGTTTTCATTTTTGTTTATTTAAATAAAGAATGTTAAAAACTTGAAAATATTATTATTATTTTTTTTTGTTATAATAAAGTTCGTCGAAATCTAAGCTATATGATATTAATGAATAAATATTTCATATCAATTTTAGTAATGTTTAGGCTAAAATTATTGTGTTGGATAATCAATCAATTCAAAAAGAATAATGTTATTAGTTTTTTAACTAACGACAATCAAACAATATGCATAAGATAAATAATAATACATCAAAAGAATTCATTTGAAACCAAATTGAAAAAAAAACATTCCTACAATTAACTAACACCATCTATGGACAATCTTCTATGATTGATTGTCGATGGAGGCGAATTCAAATCCACATTATCCTTTTTGTAATACTCATTTATTCATTCGTACTATATTCAACATTGTTCTTATATAAATTCAAATGATTTTGTTTTTTTTTAGATGAGTACACCCGTTGAGAACAAAAAGCGTAAGCTTTCGAAAAAATCAGACGATAATGCTCAAAACAAGAAGAAAGTTCATTTTTCATTTGATAACAGCGAAAAGGAAACTCCAAAAAAGGTATAAATTATGTTTTTCTCATATTTATAAAAAAAAATAAATCTTTTCTTTTTTTTTTATCAATGATTTTAAGTTGGATTTCAATGCATTATCATCATCTCTTAAATCTCGTGCCAATGAAAAATTAGCACAAGTTGCTGCTGCTAAACGTCAAGTACGAATTAAACCTGATCGAACAATGTTATCAAATGTTAAAACTATTAAAAAACAATTAAAAACAAAACAAAAACAAATGGAAATTAAGAAAAAGAAAAAACATATTAATATTGTTCAAGATAAAGAAAATACAACATTTCGACAACGTTTAAAAGAACGACAAAAATTACGTCGTGGTGTTCTTTATGATATGGCTGATAAATCGAAAAAAATTTGGGAAATTTTACGTCGAGATGAAACAACAAATGAAGTACGAATAAAATTATGTTCAGAATTAATGAAATTAATTGAAGGAAATGTTAAATTTTTATCAATGGCACATGATACAACACGTGTTATTGAATGTCTTATTCAATTTGGTAATGAACAACAAAAAAATTATATTTTCGAACAAATTCAAAGTAATAATAAATAATTGAATTAAGATATACTTTTTTCTTTTTAATTTCAAATATTCTAGAGGATATACCAATAATGTCAAAATCACTTTATGCTCATCATGTTATTATTAAATTTTTAACTCATGGGTAAAAATAAAACTTATAAATTTCTACATTGAATATAAGATTAGCCGTAAACTCTTGTCTACTATTCAATATTAGAAAATATTCATGTAATAAACATATAGTCGTTGTTGTTCGATGTTTTTCATGTTTCATATGAAAGTCAGGATTGAAATCAACTTGATAAAACAAACACCGTGATTCCGTATATCTTTAATCCAATAGAAAATGCAACGATAATTAACATTCAGTGTTTTATCCAGGATTTTTTCTCCGGAGGGGCGATTTGAATTTCCGAGGGGGCAAGCCATGTATTCGTAGCACGATTATCACAAGTCTCGGGAGGGGGGAGGGGCACCCCTCTGGATAAAACACTGTTAACATTAGTAAGGTATTTTATAGGAAGTGTCTAATCATCAAGAGAAAAATGACGTGTAGTTAAAATGCTCATTATATAGATTGAATTTAATATTTTATAGAACGGACAATCAAAAAGATTTAATAAAAAAAAGTCTCTATGGTCATGTCTGCAAATTAGCTAGACATTCAGTAAGTAATAAAATAAATTATTATGATTTTTCTTTTATTATTATTTTAATCATATATAGATTGGTTGTCGTGTATTGGAATATTGCTATAATGATGTTTGTAATTCAGCAGAACGTTTTCAACTTGTTCAAGAATTTTATGGTCGAGAATATGCTGTTCTTAAAGTTTGATGTCATGTTTTTATTTATATATTCTTTATTATATTTATCTTAGACAACTGATGTGAAAAATATTGAAGAATTACTTGCAAATAAAGCAGCTACTGGTCAACGTACAAATGTACTTGAATATATGCAAGAAAATCTTATGGCTTGTATTCAAAAGTAAATTTTTTTTTCTTCAAATTATTGATTAAAATATATTTTTCTATTATGAAGAGATCTATTGAGTACATCAATTATTCATCGAGTTATGCATGAATATATACGAAATGCGAATGAAAAGGGTCGAGAAGTAAATAGATTTTATTTTTCTAAAACAATTCAATTTATTATGCATTGATTTTTGTTTTTTTTTTTGTAATTAGGAATTAATCGATGCCATAAAAGAAAAATTAATTAAAATGATTCATAGTCGTGATGGTGCACGTGTTGCAATTTATTGTTTATGGTATGGAACAAATAAAGTATGTCATTAGTTTTTGTTTTTGTATAAATAAAAATCAAATGATTAAATTTGAAAATTTTTAGGATCGAAAATTATTAATAAAAAGTTTTAAATCATTTGTGGTTAAAATTGCAAAAGAAGAACAAGGTTATCCTGTTTTATGGACTATATTTGATGTTGTTGATGATACAAAACTTGTTTCAAAAATTATTTTACAAGTATGAAATATTTAATAAATAAATAGTAGAACATAAGAATAGGATTTTTCCTCTGTTTTCTATTTAACTTTTTGTCAGTTATAATAAAATCCGATTATTTTCGTAAGTCAAAATCATTGACATGAGGTGTATTGCTAGGTTTCTAGCTGAATAGGAACTTGAAACATTGATGAGATTGCAAAATTTTTTGTTTTTTTTTTCGAATTAAATATGTTCTCAAGCTAATATGAAAGAACTATCTAATTTTAATATTGTATAACAACGATTTATTCTTTTGAATATTGATGAACTTTGATAGATTTTAAAAATTCTTTGTATTATAGGAATTAATGTCAAATTTTGATGAAATCATTAATGATTCACATGGTAAAAAAGTACTTATGTATTTAATTGCACCACGTAATACTAAACATTTACAATATGAACTTGTTCAATTAATGAAAACAAGTGATGCATTAAATACTAGGTAATATTTCTTATTACAAATTATAATTAATAAAAAATAAATCATTTTTTTTTATTAGTAAAAAAGATTCTGAAATTCGACAAAATGAATTATTTGAATATTGTAAATCATATTTTTTGGAATATTTTACAAATAATATTCTTGCAACATTAAAAGATGGTTTTCGAGGTTTTATGATGACTGAAATGATTGAAAGACTTTCACGTAAGATTTTGTAGATATTTGATTTATTTATTTATTTATTTTATTTTTTTAAGCGGATGATAATCTATCAGCATTTTATACATCCATAAGTATAGTATTAAGTACATCATCTGTTGAACCTCAAGCAGAAACAAATCTTATTGAACATCAAATTTCTCATAATGTTTTAAGACATTTAATTATAGCTGATGGAAAAAGACAAAAAAAGAATAAACATAATGAAAGTAAGATTTTATTTCAATCTTTTATTTTCATTGTGTATTTTTTTGTTTTGTTTATTCAAGCACTTGTATCAACATTATTATCATCAATTTCACCTGATAAATTACGTACATGGATATTATGTAATCGTGGTTGTTTCATTTTTGTCATGTAAATAAAAAAAAAACTTTAATTTTCAATGTTTTTATTTTTGAATTTTTCAATTATATTTAGGATGCTTGAACATGGTCAACCGGATGAATGTAAACAAATTCGATCACTTCTTGTACCATCTGCTATTGATACACTTAAACGGCAAACATTTGCTGGAGCTAAAGTCCTTGTTGAAAAATTGTTATCTTCTTCATGAAGAATAAATATCTTTCTAACGTTGGATTAGAATAAAGAAATAACTTGATATTCTTTTCATAGATATGCATACGAAATTAAAAATAATTATAGCGAAATAACAACATAGTTTTTGTATTTTAGGATCGCAGTGTTGTTCAATTAGAATAAATAAGAATAGTCTGATAATCATGATGCTGATATAGAATGGCATCGAAATATTACTATTATAATTATAAATTTGGAAAAGAAATATGATAGAACTTTGAATACCATGAAGAAATTACTATCAAGCGATATAATAGAACGAAAAAAACCTATCTAGAATGATTTATTGCGATTTTACATATCGAACAACTTAAAATAAAAACAATATCAATAAACATCAGGATAACTAGCCATTGTCGCAATTCCACATTGATTATTCTTATTTCGACTCATCCAGATGTAACCATCGATACCCCATGTTGTTCCCCATGAATTTTTGACAATATAATAAAGTTGACTATCGGTTGCATTAAAACCAACAACTAAAGCACAATGATCAACTGATGTTGATGAACAATTTGGTTCATCATAAACACCTGATCGATAGAATTGAAATGATGAATGTGAAGCATCAATAAAAACAGCAATTGGACCTCTAATAGCAATAGCATATGTAAGAGCAGCTTCATCCATGGATTTAATATCATGAAAACCCTATATAATATTAAAATTCTAATTAGATAAATTTTATTTAAGTGATAAATTCATTATTTACAGTAGAATTAGCACCAATATTTGTAAGATTAAATCGACATGGACCATCACGTGCTTCATATGGATAACTTTCTTCCGTATCAATACCACCATTTTCTTTAATATATTGAAAGGCTGAATCTATAAAACCACCATTACAACCTGCATTACCAAAATCACTTGAACAATCAATTAAATTTTGCGCAGATAGTGAAACTAGTTGTCTAGTTTGACGTTTATGTTGACCTTCGAGTGCACCAGTAGCTGCAAAAGCCCAAGAAGAACCACATACACCTTGATTATTAACTGGTGTTACAAAGCCATCTGTGCGCCAGTCTACCAAATCCATTAAATAAATTTATGCGTTTCAAACGCAAAAAAACAGTACATACCAACAGCTCGTGGAACAGCAACATCAGACGGAGCGCAGAATGTATTATGATCAAATTTATTTTTTTTCATATTAGCAGATATATTAAATTCATTCATTTGTTTTTTAAATTCTTCATGACTCTATTAGAATAAGAAGAAATTTATAGATTTTTTTTGTAATATGTGAGAAAGAAAAACTTTACCATATCACCAAATTGATTCATTCCTAGTGTATAACTATAAATACCCAAATCAGCTTTAAGATTATGTTGATGAATTTTAGCTAAATTATGTTCCCAGATATTTCGACTATAACATATACAAAAATATGATACATCTGAAAAAATCTTCTAATTTACCGAATCATTTCTTCGTTTATTGAAGTATATTGCTTTTTATGAACACGTTTAAATAAAGACCATTGATAATTGAGTTGTTCATCAAATATAGGTACACAATAAGCGCTTATGAAAAGAGCATACACAACAATAAATGTTTGCATCGTTGTGTATATTATTATTTTGCTTGTTTGTTAACGAAAGATTTGTCTGCATTTACATATTATTTTCTCATAGTCATCATACCTTGCACAGATAACGTTATATTTATCGTTTTACTCAAGGAAAGCAAAACAATATAAAGTATGACATCATCAATTTTCATATCATTGTTTTGACGAAGCATTTGCAAAGAGTTATACATGAAAAATCAGAACTATTGATTGTTCAATGTACTGTTATAGATCAATTATGTATGGTGAAACAAAGTCATTTTCATTAGTTCCACGAGTTCAATTGTATAAATATAGAACACGATGTTGAAAAAAAATAGCAATCAACAAGTTAGATGAGTGTAGGTACAGCGAAGATCTTTGAGTAGAATAGTAACGAATATAAGAACTATGACATTGTAACAAGCGTATGCGGTATATAATAAATATATTCATAGAAAATAAGAAAGAATAACTCCTTAATCAAACTGATATTGCTTGTAGAATATGTCAAAATAATACATAGTATCAACGAAAAAAATTTTTTTTTAAAGAAATGGAAAAAGATGTGTCATATGCAACACAAATGAAACGAAAATAGTACTTGTGCAGTCTCATATTAGTCTTGCAAAACTTGTTTGGGTGTAAATTAATCAATTAACATGTTCTCGACTCATTGAAAGGTAACAGTTTAGATATGCTGGAAGTGTGTCGTGTCTAAAATTATTTCTATATCAAACTATAGTTTTAGTATTTCTCATCACTTGACGTACTGTTCTTTTTCCCTCTTGCAAACACGCGGATAATGATTGTCCATACCACTATCGATGTAGTTTTCAATGAATGAAACTATATAGTAGAACTTTCTAGTTTCACTCAATGCTTGGAGTTTCTGTTATTGATATGGCAAGTATTTGCATCTTTAATTACATGATCAGCAGTACACTTATCAGTAATGATAGATGTCACAATTTATTATTGTACCATATATCGGGATTTATTAATTGGCAGAAAAACTGACTTGGAAAAACGCAATGTTACCTATAGCAGTATTAACTATGCCAATTCAAATACTGCTTTCATTGATTGATAAGAAAAAACGTTTTCTTTTTATAAAACTCAAGTTGCTGTATGCACTCTAGCTCCACTTTAATAGATTACAAAGTTTTTCTTCAAAAACTCTGTCTTATTTCGAATGAATTTATTCAAGTTCTGCACAACATATATAAATAAGTCAATAGTTTTTTTTTCAGACATTATCAACTTTGGTTTATAGGTTTGATGCGTCTTCGACGAAAACTCAACCATTGCTGTATTTTTGAATAAATATGTAGACTATGCCATACAACATATTTTAAACCAACTGTTAATCCACCATATAAGCCAAGACATATTGTTAATGTATAGAGAGCATTGTTCCTTTTCATATAAGCATATCGACATGTTAATGGTGCACAAATTGAAAAATACTTTGAATAGTTACTTTCACTTTGCCATGCTTCAATAAATAATTCATCAATTAATGTACCAACAGATATTGATGATACTGGAGTAAAACGAGTTTGTATCGAAACATCGAGAGTTAATGAAATGGGGTATTTACTATTAGCCAAATAAGATAATCTCTGTAAACATGTTGAGTTGTAGAAACATTCAAGTGTCGATAGACGCAAACCATAGATAGGCAAACAACCAAGAACAAGACCTGTAGACAGATGAAAATTTTCTAGTATGCATCATCATGTTTTTTTTTTTTTTACTTATGGACAAATTTTTTCAAACGATAGATATTGATGACGAAATGAAACTGCTTCACAGATCTTTTTTTCTAATCTCAAGGCATTATATTTAATAATACACGATACATATTCGTAATTATACTCTCTTATTTACTCTCAATTTTCTTTTACTTAATATTCTTTCTTATTCGTTTCGAGGCAAAATATCTAAATATAAATGTCTGTAAAATGATATCAAAGATAGCTATGATGCTCCTATAGATCACTGACAGTATAAAGAGCAATTCTATTTCATGTAATTTATTAAAATATTGATTTTCTGATATTGTGCTCAAGATGAGGTTTTATTAGATGTAGAACTGCACTCTTGTATCAATTAAGAGGATTTCATAATAAGGAAAAAACGATTTTTAAATATACATAGGATTTTTCAAAAAGTTTCCAGACTGGTTCTTTTTAAAAAAACAATAGAAGTGCTGCTGTACTTAGATTGTTGTATATATGCAGCTTATATAGTGCTCCATCTAAAAACATTTGTATGCCAATATGGCAATCATTTTTACAGCATCTTATATATACTAATGCAAAATCAAAAACTTGAGCATCGCTCAGTAATAAAGTTTCTTGTTTTGGAAGGCCAATATCCATTCAATATTTATAAATGTATGGCGGCAACTGATCGTGATCAAGCTACATCATGCACCACGGTTTTTGAATAGACTCGTCATTTTAAAGATAGACAATTAAATATCGATGATGGTCCTAGATGTGGACGATCGATTATTACAACGGATAGCGAATCTATTAAAACTATTGAAGCTCTAATCATCGAAAACCGGCGAATCATAATTCAACAAACCATAGACACTCCAAATATTTTAACAGAGACAATGCTAGGTATTTTACGTGATCAATTACATATGACTAAAGTTTGCTTAAGCATGTTAGGGAATTTGGTTTCTTATTCTATAGGAAGAAACAACTTTCTTTTTCGAATTACAATTGATGATGTATCGTTTATCCATTTTTATGAATCTGAAAGAGAACAATTATCAAAACAGTGGAAACATGCTGATTTATAACCAAGAACATATTTGAAATAAGAAAATTTGATAATCAAGTATTCATAATCGTTTGTCTAGAATTTTAAAGGCATAATTCTTCAAGACTTTGTACCGATGGATATGACAATAACAAAGTTATATTATGCAAAAATTTTATCATATATTACGTCTTGTTTCTTCTATCATTCACGATTTAAAATATAAATCTCTTCGCTATCTGCCTAATTCGTCAGATCTCGCTTCCGATTATTATGTACTGTTCCTAGTTTTGAAAGAAAGCTCTACAATGATCGAAGTTCATTAGACTCTATCATACATCAGTGTCTGAAAGGTCTGCCTAAAACTGAATTAACAGCAACTATACAAAAACGTCCAGCAAAGGAATGCTATTTCAAAAAAGAGAACATATATTTATCATTATAACCCATTTTGTTGTTTCTGAATAAAATAAGCCCGATAATTTTGTGATCACCCTACATATTCCACTTGTATTGATGAAGAATTTTACAAAAGATCAATATAAAGCAATGCAGAGTTTGAAAAAATCAATTATCATTTTTTTGTTAATCATTATGCAACATTCAAATCTAAACATATTATGTCAAAGAACTAGTCATTCTATAAACGAAACAACTCATGAAAGAACATCTATCACTGTTGTAAATAAACATCTCACCTGGCAATATTCCTGTTTTACCATAACAATTCAAAAGAGAACTTGAACATGTTGACATAGTTGCACATGAACAAGAACCATTACTATTATTATATGTTATTGGACTTGTTGACATAATATAATTATCCTTAGAAGTAGATATAGCAAAATTCCAATTTGTGTAGAATATATTATGTAGTTGATTAGCATGAAACATTCCTATGATATATTGATGTATTCGTCGAAAACTTGTTGGTGCTTGAATAATAAAATTAGTAATAATAGAATCAATTTGAGTTTGAAAAGAATGACGTGTTAATATTTCAACACTAAGTAATTCTTGTGAAGAAAATATTTCGATCTTTTGTTCAATAACATTTTTTACCAAAGAACAAAGTGATGATAAAAGACGAAATTGTGTACTTAGTATTTTCATGTCTACACTCAAATAATAAGTGTCTGATGATTCAGTACCCCATAGTAATTCAATGAAATCAAATGAAATAAAATAACTTGAACATACTTGATGATAAGCAATTGGTTTGACAGAAAGAAATTTTGAATATTGTATTGCTATTTGTGAACATGGACATGATAATGATGATGAATATTGAGTTTGTAATTGTTCAAATATGAATTCTGTTGGAGATTTTATTGTTATAGAATATATCTGTGAATTTAATCCAGTAAAAGTTATTATAATTACAAATGCTAAGACAACTAAAATAATATAAAAACGAGTAGCTATTTGTTGACGTTGTATAAGTAATATTTCATCTGTTGTTTGTGATTCTTCTGGTAAATGAGTTTTCTGCACTTTATAATAGAAGTTTATTGTTCGAATAGAATGTTGAAGTTGAGTACAAAAAATTACAATTTTATGACGAATATCTTAGAATATAAAGAAAAGCAAAGGTAAATGTTGTTCTTTATTAATCATTATTATACAAATAAACTAAGCTGATGATGTCAAAAATCTTAGTTCATGTAATTGTTAGTCATACAAGTATGTGCAATTCATTCAATATCTCGACTATTTTTGCTAAAATTCTATAGTATAATATTCATTCTTACCTCTTTCTACGAAAGATGCCTGTGTACCGTGTTGTTGACGTCTACGACAATAATGATATATTCGTCGAAGTAGTTTCACAATAGGAAGAATCAATATTCGAAGTGCAGTAGAAAGACCACCTACTATACCAAGTATAGTTGCAATAATATAAGCTCTATTAAAACGTTTTTCATAGGTATAAGTACATTGATCTGGTGCACATTGATTATAATAGAAACTAAAATTTGTAGAATTTGTCCAATCTTCAATAAATAATTGTGAAACAATTTTATTCAATGTAGTATCAGGAGAAAAACGACTATGAACTATAGGATCGAGTGGCATGACATTCATAACACGAGGATCTATTGTAACATTGGATGAGTCAAATGAATGCCATTTAATAAGCATTTGAATACATGATGGATTATAAAAACATTCAAGTGAAGATGCAAGAAAAGAATCAATAAGTAGACAATCTATAACTAAACCCGGTATCG